CTGAACACAGCTGGAAGAAGTGGAGTTGCTCAGAACAATATTTAGTGCATAAATAAAACAGATTTTATTTTATTATTCATGCTGCTTCCATATCACCGCACCTGCAAAGGTGCTACTTTTTATTCCAGATTTTCAGGAAAATAATAATAATGCTTTGCATTTGTATGGTTTGTATTGTTATTGTTATTATTAATGTAGGTGGAGCTGTGGTCTAAACCACTGAGCCTCTTGGGCTTGCTGATCAGAAGGTCAGCGGTTCGAATCCCCACAACAGGGTGAGCTCCTGTTGCTCTGTCCCAGCTCCTGCCAACCTAGCAGTTCGAAAGCACACCAGTACAAGTAGATAAATAGGCAACACTGTGGCAGGAAGGTAAATGGTGTTTCCGTGTGCTCTGGTTTCCGTCACGGTGTTCCGTTGTGCCAGAAGCAGTTAGGTCATGCTGGGCACATGACCCGGAAAGCTGTCTGTGGACAAATGGCGGTTCCCTCAGCCTGAAAGCGATAAGAGAGCTGGGACAGAGCAATGGGAGCTCACCCTGTCACAGGGATTCGAACTGCCAACTTTCTGATTGGTAAGCCCAAGAGGCTCAGTGGTTTAGAACACAGCGTCACCCGCGTCCCTAGGACCTCCATACACCCTGCCCAGGCTTGCGCCCAAGGGAGGTCACTTTGGTGGTGCTAAGGCAGTGGTTTGAGGTGCATTCTATTGCATCTTGAGACAGATGTATGCCCAGTTCCCAGCAGCTGTGGAGGAGTCAAGGAACTGCAGATTCCATAAACAAGCACACACAAACCCACACCAAAATTATGCTGCCATTTTTAGGAAACTAATCTGAGTCTAATCCCTGCAGCCCAAGGCAGGGAACCCAATACCGAAAACATGCAACACACACAATCCCACTTCGTAGTCTCCACTGATGAGGGTATCATAACTTCCTTGGGGCAATCTGGTTAAGGTTTAGCATTCAGCTGTCCCTATATTTAAGAGTATTTTTTTCTAATCTTTGTAATTGGCATGGGCTAGTGGTGGAGAGGAACAGTTGCTGTGAACTGCCTTTCCGAAAGCCTTCAGAGATTCTGAAAGCTCTGGTGGAGAAGGGTGCGACTGAGCAGTAGGACATCTTCTTTGCATGCAAAAGATCCTGGGTTCAGTCCCTGCACCCAGGACACCCCTGTTCTGCCTTCTTCCAGGTCCCAAAGGACCTGCACGTTGGCAGAGGCACATCTAGCTGCTCCGGCACCTAGAGTGGCGCACATTCTGTGCACCCGGGGGTGGGGTTAGCCATCTGCGGGCTAGCTGCTTCACTTCGTTCATCTCACATCTCACAACGGTCTCAACCATATCTGAAGGAGCGTCTCCACCCGCATCGTTCTGCCCAGACGCTGAGGTCCAGCGCCGAGGGCCTTCTGGCAGTTCCCTCATTGTGAGAAGCAAAGCTACAGGGAACCAGGCAGAGGGCCTTCTCGGTAGTGGCACCCGCCCTGTGGAACGCCCTCCCACCAGATGTTAAAGAGATAAACAACTACCTGACATTCAGAATACATCTGAAGGCAGCCCTCTTTAGGGAAGCTTTTAATGTTTAACAGACTACTGTATTTTAATTCTTTGTTGGAAGCCGCCCAGAATGGCTGGGGAAACCCAGCCAGATGGGTGGGGTACAAATAATAAATTATTATTATTATTATTATTATTATTATTATTATTATTATTATTATTATTCAGAAAGGCCTCAGGAGGACCAAGGAGGAATCCTACACAACCACACACTCCTGCTTCTCTGCAAAGGTGGCAGAACCCCAGCAAAAGCACTGGGCAGTGGAAAGGTCATGGAATGGCTCAAGCAGACTGACCAGAGACATCCCTAAAGAGCAGGAAATAGAAGCAAGAGCAGCCCTGCACAGAATGAGTGCCTTCCATTGCCGCCCTCTGCGTTCCTCCAAGCTGCAGAACTATTTCCCCAGCTAGACTTTCTTTCCTTTCGGATCACACCCTCCCTCTCCCTGTGTGTAACACGCAAACTCTTCCCAGTTGTTCCTCCCCTCTTCCTGAGCTTGGATATCTCCTCTCCTTCCACACAGCCCAAGCTCAGAACTTTGCAGATGCTAGATGATTTTAATGGGAGATTTTAATGGAGTTGCGGGGCGAACGTCCCAAGGGGGGTGCCGCCTACAGCAAGCGTCCCAGGGGGGTGGGGAGGCGATGTCACCCCCCCTCAGGGATGACATCCGGGGCGAGCCGCACCCACCACACTCCCTTCCTCCGCCAGTGCACGTTGGCAATTGCACATCAATTGGACGTGCCTAAAATGACACTTGCTTTTCGACCACGCTTCATTTTCCTTGACAGCTGCATTGCAAAATTCAGCAGTGTGCGACTTTCAAAGGACAAGTGTCTCCCAATTTGCGTCTTGTTTCAGCGAGGGAGAACTAAGCAGGCCAGCATGGAAATGTGAGCCGAATGGGTCTCTCTTAGTGGGCAGCCAGTAGGTTCTACTTTGCAGAATGATGATTCGTATTCTGCTCGTACCTGCAGGGCAGTTTGACAAGTGCACATTCTGCAATGATTGCCTTCTTGGGTCAGATCAAGGTCCATCTAGGTCAGCGTTCTGTATTCAGCTTTGAAATATTTCCCGAATACACTATCACTTATCCCCGGCTTCTAACTGCTTGTCAATCTCAGGAACATCTTTTACCATCTCTTTTAGCTTCACCTGTGTTGCTGTGCCAGACGCTTCTCAGCTGTGTCCTGGGCAAACCCTGGAGCTTCTCCATGTCCAAACGTCAACCATGCTCACAATTTTTAAATTCATTTGTGGGATTTACATATTAAGAATCCCCACTTGTTGTGGGAGGTTATTGGACAATTACCTTTTTAAAAAACACACACACGTTTATTTGGTTTTTCAGATAAAAAGTTTACAGCGATATAGCAAACATAAATCATAAAAACAAGATTCCAAGGAATATCCTGGACTTCCACCCTCCCCTTTGTGGGTCCTATTATTAATCATTTCCTCCCACCTCTTTTATGATGAGCCAAATCTTTTACATCTCCATTGTGTCCAGAATTCACCCTTAAACTACAAGTGACATTCCAATCCTACTAACGATTTTAACTGTTTACAATGGTTATAAATTTCCCCCATTCCTTATTAAAATTTTGGTCTTCCTGATTTCTGTTTCTTCCGGTCATTTTAACCATTTCAGCATAGTCCATCAACTTCATCTGCTATTCTTCTCTGGTAGGAACAATTACCTTAATATACCTGAAGGAGCATCTCCACCCCCATTATTCAGCTCAGAGGGCCTTTTGGCGGTTCCCTCATTGCGAGAGGTGAAGTTACAGAGAACCAGGCAGAGGGCCTTCTCAGCAGTCATGCCAGCCCTGTGGAACACCTTCCCAGCAGATGTCAAGCAGCTATGTGATGTTTAAAAGAAATCTGAAGTCATCCCTGTTCAGGGAAGTTCTTAGTGTCTGAGGTTATATTGTGTTTTTACTATTTGTGTTGGGAGTCCCTCAGAGTGGCTTGGGCAACCCAGTCAGTTGAGCAACATACAAATATAGTTGTTGTTGTTGATGATGTTGTTGTTGTTGTTGAAAGTTCTTCTTCGTGAAACACATGAACTATGGAACTCCCTGCCACAGGAGGCAGTGATGGCCACGAAACTAGATGGCTCTAAAAGAGGATTAGACAAATTCATGGAGGAGAGAGTTATTGGTGACCACTAGCCCAGTTGACTACACTCTGCCTCCACAGCTGAAAGCAGCAATGTTTCTGAATAGAATAGAATAGAATTTATTATTTATACCCCGTTCATCTGGCTGGGTTTCTCCAGCCACTCTGGGTGGTTTCCAACAGAGTATTAAAATACAGTGGTCAGTTAAACATTAAAAACTTCCATAAAGAGGGCTGCCTTCAGATGTATTCTAAAAGTCTCGTAGTTGAGAGCCAGTGTGGTGTAGTGGTTAAGAGCGGTAGACTCGTAATCTGGGGAACCGGGTTCGTGTCTCCGCTCCTCCACATGCAGCTGCTGGGTGACCTTGGGCCAGTCACACTTCTTTGAAGTCTCTCAGCCCCACTCACCTCACAGAGTGTTTGTTGTGGGGGAGGAAGGGAAAGGAGAATGTGAGCCGCTTTGAGACTCCTTTGGGTTGTGATAAAGCGGGATATCAAATCCAAACTCTTCTTCTCTTCTTGTTCTTCTCTTTGACATCTGGTGGGAGGGCGTTCCACAGGGCGGGTGCCACTACCAAGAAGGCCCTCTGCCTGGCTCCCTGTAACCTCACATCTCGCAGGGAGGGAACCGCCAGAAGGCCCTCGGAGCTGGACCTCAGCTGGACATCGCAGAACGATGGAGGTGGAGACGCTCCTTCAGGTATACTGGACCGAGGCTGTTTAGGGCTTTAAAGGTCAGCACCAACACTTTGAATTGTGCTCGGAAACGTACTGAGTGGGAAGTGACAGAGACAGGATGTTTGTGTTACTGTGTTCCTTGGAGTGGGAGTATTGTCCTTTGTTCTTTTTCTCTTTGCTGTCTGATGCTAGAGAGAGAGGGAGCCATGTTGTAGTGCTCTGTGTGTAAATAAAGTAGATTAGCCAAAATGCTGAGTTGCTGAGGTCTGTCACACAAGGTGCGCAAACTCTACGGATCCCTAAGTGTGCCGGTGTCTGTTGGCATCAGTCACTCTGATGTTCGGGCTGAAGAAAGCTTTTGAAGCTCCCAAACGATCGACCAGGAGGGAGAGAACATGCCAGTCAGGCATGTGTCTCTACCAGGGTCCTACTCGGGTGCAGGACAAGCTCCTGACAGGCGGTTGCTCCTGGGGTCACATCCTGCTTGTGGGTTTCCTCACAGGCCTCTGGTTGGCCTCCGTGAGAACTTGATGCTGGGATCGATGGGCCATTGGCCTGACCCTGCAATCTATTCTTACGTTCTTACCTCTCTAAGATAGGCCCAGTTTGGGAACGTTCTCATCCTCCTCTCTTGTTCTCCTCCAGAAGGGATGACCGATGTGGCCAGCTCGGCCCGGGACTGCCTGCAGGCTGGCGAATCCTGCACCAATGACCCCAGCTGCAGCTCCAAATTCCGGACCCTCCGGCAATGCATCGCTGGCAACGGCGCCAACAAGCTGGGTCCGGACGCTAAGAGCCAGTGTCAGAACACAGTGACAGCCCTTCTGTCCAGCCAGCTCTACGGCTGCAAGTGCAAACGGGGCATGAAGAAGGAGAAGCACTGCCTCAGCGTCTACTGGAGCATCCACCACACCTTGATGGAAGGTGAGTCGGCACGGCTCCGCGACGTAGCAGGGAGTTGGGGAAGGAGCAGGCTGTTTGGGGGCAAAGGAGGGTGGGGAGGACTCCCGTCTGGGGAGAAAACAGTAAAGACCTGATAAAGAGACCACAGCAGAGGTTATATTTTCTGAGAATCCTCCAGAAAAACAATCTCTCAAAGGACCTGTTGATGGCATTTTACCATTGTACTGTGGAGAGTGTATTAACTTATGGTCTGTGTGTGTGGTTTCGGAGCTGCACGGTCAGGGGGGAAACAATGCTATCCAGGGTTGTAAAGACTGCAGAGAGAATAATTGGGTGCACTCTTCCCACCTTGGACCAAATCTATGCTTCCAGGTGCCATAAGAAAGCTGCAGAGATAGCGCAGGATAGTGCGCACCCCAGAAATGATCTCTTTCAGCTTCTGCCTTCTAGAAGAAGGTACAGGGTTATAAAGACTAGGACTAGCCGCCTGAGAAACAGTTTCTATCCAAATGCGATTTTGGTTTTAAACGCAGCGTAAGGTAGTCTGTAGGGACACGGGTGGCGCTGTGGGTTAAACCACAGAGCCTAGGACTTGCCGATCAGAAGGTCGGCGGTTCGAATCCCCGCGACAGGGTGAGCTCCCATTCCTCAGTCCCTGCTCCTGCCAACCTAGCAGCTCGAAAGCACATTGAAGTGCAAGTAGATAAATAGATACCGCTCTGGTGGGAAGGTAAACAGCATTTTCATGCGATGCTCTGGTTCGCCAGAAGCGGCTTAGTCATGCTGGCCAGCTGTACGCCGGCTCCCTCGGCCAATAAAGCGAAATGAGCGCCGCAACCCCAGAGTCGGCCATGACTGGACCTAATGGTCAGGGGTCCCTTTACCTTTAAGGTAGTTTCTATGGGAATATATTGTATTTAATTATGGGGTATCAGAGTTTTTAGGGGGTTAACCAGGCTGGGATAGCTGGGATAGCAGGCTTGTTGGTTTCTGAATGTCTGGTGTAGATTTTTCAATTTTGTTGTTCTGTCTGGGACAATGACAATAAAGATTATCGTATCATAAGCGCTGGAAGGAAACGGCAGCCTTTCCTCCTGGCTTCCTGAAGGAGCAGACATCAGCAAGGAAACCTCACCCAGCATTAATGGGGCTGAGGCAAGCAAGACACCTCCCAGGCCAATGGTTTTCAACCAGTGCTGGGGCACCCTATGGTGCCTTGAATGATGGTCAGTAGTGCCACGGGAAACATTGTTCTTTGTCCCTATTTCCTTCCCTCCCTTCCTGTGATGCCCTCTCACCTTTCTGCCTCCCAAATGCTTGCAGAGCTATTTATAATAATATGATAATAATAATTTATTATTTATACCCCGCCCATCTGGCTGGGTTTCCCCAGCCACTCTGGGCGGCTTCCAACAGAATATTAAAATACAATAGTCTATTAAACATTGAAAGCTTCCCTAAACAGGACTGCCTTCAGATGTCTTCTAAAATTCTGGTAGTTGTTTTTCTCTTTGACATGTGGTGGGAGGACCTTCCACAGGGCGGGTGCCACCACCGAGAAAGCCCTCAGCCTGGTTCCCTGTAACTTGGCTTCTCGCAGCGATGGAACCGCCAGAAGGCCCTCGGCGCTGGACCTCAGTGTCCGGGCAGAATGATGGGTTTGGGGACGCTCCTTCAGGTATCCTGGACCGAGGTCGTTTAGGGCTTTAAAGGTCAGCACCAACACTTTGAATTGTGCTCAGAAACGTACTGGGAGCCAGTGTTGATCTTTCAAGACAGGTGTTATGTGGTCTCGGCAGCTGCTCCCAGTCACCAGTCTAGCTGCCGCATTCTGGATTAGTTGTAGTTTCCAGGTCACCTTCAAAGGTAGCCCCACATAGAGCGCATTGCAGTAGTCCAAGCAAGAGATAACCAGAGCATGCACCACTCTGGAAAGACAGTAGCCCTGGCTACAAGCTCCACAGGTGAGAATGGTGCCTGTGGGAGGCACCTCTCTTTGGGGTGAAGGGGGGCAGCTCAGAGACCAGGGGCGGCCGAAGCGGCTGCCCGGAGGACTCCCAAGGAGAGGGAAGAGGAGAGGAGGCTGAGGGAACACTCTACAAGGGAGCATGTTTGAAAAAGCGGGAGATGCTGCCAGTTCCGCAAGCAAGGGGTAGCATAACTGGTCTCCTGAGCCCCGCAGGGGTGCTGCAGAAAGAATGTAGTTGGTTGAGGGAGCAGTGGACTCAGAAAGGTTGAAAACCTCTATCCTAGGCACATAAGAAGGCATCAATTTCTGTACTGCCCTGTTTGCATGCAGCTGCGGTTCATCTTCTCCCAAAAATGACATCATTCATCTCACTGTCTGCCACGGCAACATTACATGACAAAGAATATACAGTGGTACCTCTGGTTGCGAATGGGATCCGTTCCGGAGCCCCGTTCGCAACATGAGCAGAACGCAACCTGCGCCTCCGTGTCTGCACACGCACGGGTCACGACTCACCACTTCTGTGCATGCGTGTGACATCATTTTGAGTGTCTGCGCATGCACAAGCGGCGAAACCCGGAAGTAACCCTTTCTGGTACTTCCGGGTCACTGCGGGACGCAACCTGAAAAGACATAACCTGAACCGAATGTAACAAGAGGCTTTAATTCTGCAAGTTTAATTGCTTTTCAATGACTGTTATATGTTTTCAGCTTTCTGTATTCTATCTGTGTTGCTTTAATTTGTGTACGCTACCTTGAGTCAGCCCGGTCTGGGAAAAAGGCAGGGTGTAAATAAATACAATAGCAATTGTCATTATGCATCCATCCCAAGGTGGACAAATGGCCCGTAGCTTAATTCTTTATTGACAAAACGAACCCAAAGGGTGCTCATCAATGGTTCCTCTTCATCCTGGAGAAGAGTGACTAGTGGGGTGCCACAGGGTTCTGTCTTGGGCCCGGTCTTATTCAACATCTTTATCAACGACTTGGATGATGGACTCAAGAGCATCCTGATCAAATTTGCAGATGACACCAAACTGGGAGGGGTGGCTAACACCCCAGAGGACAGGATCACACTTCAAAACAACCTTGACAGATTAGAGAACTGGGCCAAAACAAACAAGATGAACTTTAACAGGGAGAAATGTAAAGTATTGCACTTGGGCAAAAAAAATGAGAGGCACAAATACAAGATGGGGGACACCTGGCTTGAGAGCAGTACATGTGAAAAGGATCTAGGAGTCTTGGTTGACCACAAACTTGACATGAGCCAACAGTGTGACGCGGCAGCTAAAAAAGCCAATGCAATTCTGGGCTGCATCAATAGGAGTATAGCATCTAGATCAAGGGAAGTAATAGTGCCACTGTATTCTGCTCTGGTCAGACCTCACCTGGAGTACTGTGTCCAGTTCTGGGCACCACAGTTCAAGAAGGACACTGACAAACTGGAACGTGTCCAGAGGAGGGCAACCAAAATGGTCAAAGGCCTGGAAACGATGCCTTATGAGGAACGGCTAAGGGAGCTGGGCATGTTTAGCCTGGAGAAGAGGAGGTTAAGGGGTGATATGATAGCCATGTTCAAATATATAAAAGGATGTCACATAGAGGAGGGAGAAAGGTTGTTTTCTGCTGCTCCAGAGAAGCGGACACGGAGCAATGGATCCAAACTACAAGAAAGAAGATTCCACCTAAACATTAGGAAGAACTTCCTGACAGTAAGAGCTGTTCGACAGTGGAATTTGCTGCCAAGGAGTGTGGTGGAGTCTCCTACTTTGGAGGTCTTTAAGCAGAGGCTTGACAACCATATGTCAGGAGTGCTCTGATGGTGTTTCCTGCTTGGCAGGGGGTTGGACTCGATGGCCCTTGTGGTCTCTTCCAACTCTATGATTCTATGAAAGCACAAACTTACGGTAGCTCCTGAGGCCCAATAAACATGCACACACATGTTTCTGGTGGGCAAGTAGTTGGCTCCACTCTCTGGGCTTGCGCTCAGAGCTGGACTATTGTAGCAATGCACACTCCTGCTCCCCATCTTCCAGCTCTGACACCGGCCTCGTAGGAGATGCGAAACTCCATAAATTGTAACCTCCCCTCCCTTCCCCTGGATCAGTGTCCGGCCCTGATAACTTCTCCAACCACTCGTCTGAGCCCTGCCAGTCCCGGGCATTGCGTAATTTAAACACTGCACATTACGTACATGGCATAATTTCCTCACCGTTTTCCTTATTCCGCCCCGCTCACTTCAGTGCAAAGGAAACGCAGTGCAAATGGATGGGGGCAACTTGATCAATTGCACAATGTTTTCAGACTGAAAGCAACAGCCAGCGGAGAATACCGATTGTGTTCCCTGGATTGATTTCCGTTGTGGACATGGGATAAGTAAGCAAACACCGGCCTTTTCCACTCTCGTTTCCATTTTCATACGAACACATCCTTAACCCCTCCGTTGGCCTGAAGCAGACCAAACGCCATTTTTAAAAATCTGTTTATTAGCTAGATTTTTATCCTGCTTTTCAGGCAGTTAAGCATTTGTCACAGAGAGAGAGAGAGGAAAGGGCCATAGCTCAGTTGCAGAGCACCCACATTGCATCTGCAGAGTTCAAAATTCAATCCCCAAGGACATTTCCAGCTAGGGTTCACAGAGAACTCAGCAAGAAACCCTGGAAAGGCACCAACAGTGACTGCAGGTTATACTCTGCTAAACGGGCCAAGCAACTAAAAAACAACAACCTATTTTAGAGAGGCAAGAACCTAAGGAGAGCCTTCTGGATCAGGCCAACAGCCCATCTAGCCCAGCATCCTGTTCTCACAGTGGTCCACCAGATGCCAGCAGGAAACCCACAAGGAGCTTGTGGTGGACTTCAGGAGACAGAAGAGCAATGTCCAGCCACTTTTGATTGATGGGGTCTGTGTGGAGAGGGTAACAACGTTCAGATTTTTGGGCATTGAATTACAAGAGGATCTGTCCTGGAGTGTCAACACAAGGGGGCTTGTGAAGAAGGCGCAGCAGAGACTGTACTTTTTGAGAATTCTAAGGAAAAACCATCTTCCG